TCTATTCCCTGCTCTGTGCTCCATCTTCCCCTCCCTCCCCTCACCCTACCCCCACATCCCAGCAACCAGCAGAGAATCCCACCCCCATTTAGTGTGGGTTCTTTTTCTTAGTCTTTTACAGTAGTGGTCCTATGCAGCATTTCTTCTTTCGTGACTAATTTCACTCAATATAATGCCCTCAAGGTTCATCCATGTTAAGCGGTGGCTTGCAGCTTTCTTGTTATTTTTCAAGGTAGCATACTATTCCATTGTGTGTATGTACCACAGTTTGTTTATCCATTCTTCAGTTGATGGGCACTTTGGCTGCCTACGTCTTTTTGCTATTGTAAATAGTGCTGCTATGAACATTGGTGTGGATATATCTTCTTGTATTGTGGCTCATATTTCTTGTGGGTAAATTCCAAGTAGAAGAATTGCTGGATCACAAGGTATTTCTATTCGCAACCTTCTGAGGAAGTGCCATATTGCTTTCCAGAGAGGTTGGACCATTTTGCAGTCCCACCAGCAATGCAGGAGTATTCCAGTCTCTCCACATCCCCACCAGCATTTATTGTCCTCTACATTTTGGATCTTTGCTGTTATTGTTGGTGTGAGATGATATTTTTTTAGCTTTTTATCGTGACTTGAGTGAAGGTTTACAAAACAGATCATCAGTCCCACATTCAACAAACTGTGCATTTCGTGTCATTACAATGATTGTAGTCCACTCCATATACCATCAGTTCACAGTATTTACCTCTAGTCATTTTATTTTTCCCTCACCCACCCCTTAGTTGTTAGAGAATGCTTCATTTAGCAAGAAAATACATTTTTTAACTTTTTATTGTGAATTTGGAGTGAAGGTTTACAGACAGATCATCAGCCTTACATTTAACAAATCATATACTTTGTTCCAGCTCAATGAGTACAACCCCTCCCTGCAACAACAGTTATCCCACTTCCTCTTTGTGTTTTCCCATTCACATCTTATATTTCACGAATGAACAAAGCAAAAAATATTTGATGCACACATGCAAAACAAAAAAATGTATATTCATTTAAATATTCAAAGGACCCATTCTGCCGGTCAGGCTCCTGCCTGCAAGCACTTGGCCTTTCTCGATCCATGGGTCTAGAGTCTGCAACTGCTCAGTCTCTCCAGGCCAAGGCCTCTGCCACTGTCTCTGCCGTCACCTCTTTTCTAGGTAGGGACCTCACGCTCCACTCATAGCAAGAAAATCTTGTCTTAAATTTTTACATCAGTAGTCTCATGCAATATTTGTCTTTTTGTGATTGATTTCACTCAGCATACTGTCTTCCAGGTTCATCCATGTTGTGACATATTTTGAATAGTCTTCATGATTCTTCAACATTGCATAATATCCCATTGCATGTGTGTGTACCAGAACGTGTTTAACCACTCTTCTATTGATGGTCATTTAGACTGTTCCCATCTTTGTGCTATTATGATAATGCTGCAACGAACACATGTGTGCATAGATCTACTCGTGTCATGGGTCTTATTTCCTGAGGATAGCTACCAAGCAGAGGGATTGCTGGGTCATGTTGTTATTGTTGTTATGTGCCATGGAGTCAGTTCCGACTCATAGCGACCCTGTGCAGGGTTTCCGAGGCTGTAAATCTTTACGGGAGCAAAAAGCTTCATCTTTCTCCCAAGGAACAGCTGGTAGTTTCGAACTGCTGACCGTGAGATTAGAAGTCCGATTTGTAACTACTTGTATTTCAAACTTTTTTAGCAAGAGCCATACAGTTTTCCACAGTGGTTGTACCATTTTACAGTCCCACCAGCAGTGTAAGAGTGTCCCAGTCTCTCCAAATCTTGCCAGCACTTGTTTTCTGTTTTTTAGAACAATGCTATTAGTGCTGGAGTAAAATACCTTATTATTATTTTGATTTGTATCTCAAGAAAGCAAACGATGTATTGAATTAGGCAAATCTGCTGCACAAGACCTTTTTAAAGTGTTGAAGAGCCAAGATGTCAGCTTGAGGCTTAAGGTGCGTCTGACCCAAGCCATGGTATTTTCAATAACCTCATATGCATGCTAAAGCTGGACAGTGAATAAGGAAGACCGTAGAATTGATGCTTTTGAGTTATGGTGTTGGAGGAGAATATCGAAAGTGCCATGGGCTGCCCATAGAACCAATATATCTGTGTTGGAAGAAGTGCAGCCAGAGTGCTCCTTGGAGGCCAGGATGGCCAAACTTCATCTCTCATACTTCAGACATATTGTCAGGAGGGACCAGTCACTGGAGGATATCATGTTTGGTAAGGTGGAGGGTCAGAGAAAAAAAGAAGACCCCCAACAAGATGAATTGGCAAAGTGGCAGCATCAGTGGGCTCAAGCATGGCAACAATTGTGAGGTTGGCCCGGAATCAGGCAGTGTTTCATTCTGCTGTGCATAGGGTCACTATGAGTCGGTCCTGACTTGATGGCACCTAACAACAACAACAACTAATCATGAGCATTTTTTTCATATGTTTGTTGGCATCTTGAATGTCTTCTTGTATGAATTATCTGTTCATGTCCTCTGCCCATTTTTAATTGGATTATTTGCCTGTTTGTTGAAGTATTGAGTGTTTTATAAATTTTGGAGAGTAGTCCTTTGTCTGATATGCTGTTGCCAAACATATTTTCCTACTTAGTGGGTGCTCTTTTAACTCGTTTGGTGAAATCCTTTGATGCACACAAGTGTCAAATTTTTAAGCGGTCCCAGTCGTCTACCTTGCCTTCTGTTGATGTGTTTTCAGTTATGTCTGATAGTGTACTTACATCACTACACAATTCCTCAATTTCTCCCAATTTTTTCACTGATGATCTGGATAGTTCTAGGTTTTACATTTAGGTCTTTAATCCATGTTGATTTCAAGTTTGTTTATGGGGTGAGATATGGGTCTTGTTTCATTTTTCTGCAAGTGTATTCCCAATTTTGCCAGTACCATATGTTGAAGAGACTATCTTTTCCCCATTTAATGCATTTTGGCCCTTTGTCAAAGATCAAGTGACCATCGATGGATGGATTTACTTCTGGATTCTCAATTCTGTTCTGTTGCTCTTTCGTCTTTCGTACCAGTACCAGACTGTTTTGACTACTGTGGCTATAAAATAGGTTTTGAGATTGGTAAGTGAGAGGCCTCCTAGTTTGCTCTCTTCTTTTTTAATAATGCTTTGCTTATCTGAGGTCTCTTTCCTCTATATAACAAGTTAGTGATTAGTTTTTCCATCTCTTTAAAGAATGATGTTGGAATCTAGATTTGGAAGTGGTACATCTATAGATTAACTTCGTCTCTCATATTTTGGACATATTGTCAGGAGGAAGCAGTCGCTGGAGAAGGATATCATGCTTGGTAAGGTGGAGGGTCAGGGGAAAAGAGGAAGACTCCCAATGAGATGGATATTGGCCAAGTGGCAGCATCGATGGATTCAAGCGTGGCAACAATAGTGAGGTTGGCCCAGGATCGGGCAGTGTTTCGTTCTGCTGTGCATAAGGTCACTATGGTGTTGGGGTTCGAGGGGAACCCCGTTACGTGGGTATGCCCGAGGGTGAGACAGGGATGAAAACAGGCCAGGGACACAGGCTGATGGCGAGTGACGAAGTTTATTGAAAGCAAGAAGTTTATATAGGGCAGTTCTGCAAATCATGGTTGCTTAGCATAGTTACAAGTTTATCTTTTGCTATGAACCAGGTGACCTTGGGAAAGCTGCTTTCCCTGCATGTTTATCTTTTGCTGTGAGTCACGTGATCTTGGGAAGGCTACTTTCCCTGTGTTAAATAAACAGGCTTTGTCTGGTTATACCCAGACTTTAAGTTTTATGAGGCCTGTAAGCCTTTTGGCCCCCAACATTATGGGTCGGTACCAACTCGATGGCACCTAACAACAACAACATATCTATAGATTACTTTCTGTAGTGTTGGCATTTTCACAATGTTAAGTCTTCCTATCCATGAACAGGGTATAATCCTCCATTTCTGCAGGTCTTTTTTTTTTTGGTTTCTTGTAATTATCTTTGTAGAGGTCTTTTGTTTCTCTGGTTAGATTTGTTCCCAAATATTTCATCTTTTGGGTGGCTGTTGTAAATGGTATTCTTTTTCTGGTTTCCTTTTCAGAGCTCTCTTTATTAGTGTAAAAGAATCCAACTGATGTTTGTGTGTTTACCTTGTACCCTGCCACTTTGCTGAATCTATCAATGAGTTACAATAATTTTCTTATGGAGTCTTCGGGGTTTTCTAAGAATAGGATCATATAATCTGCAAATAGAGAGTTTTACTTCTTCTTTGCCAATTTCTCTTTCTTGCCTTATAGCTCTGGCTAGGATATCCAACACAATATTGAATAAGAGTGGTGATAAAGGACACCCTTGTCTGGTTCCTGTTCACAAGGGATTGACTTAAGTTTCTCACCATTAAGAGTGATATTAGCTGTTAGTTTTATGTATACGCCCTTAAATATGTTGAGGAATTTCCCTTCTGTTTCTATTTTGTTGAGTGTTTTTATTAGCAATGACTGTTAGATTTTGTTAAATTCCTTTTCTACATCAATTGAATAATTTCTTTTTCCCTTGTTTTTATTTATGTGGTGGGTTACACTGATTTTCTAATATTGAACCATTTTTACATGTCTGGTATGAATCCCACTTGGTCTGATGTGTTGTTGGTTTTTATTTGCTAGGATTTTGTTGAATTTTTTGCATCTATGTTCACTACAATTTTCTTAGTGATATCTCTGCCTGGTTTTTATATCAGAGTTATGCTTGCTTCATAAAATGAATTTGGGAGTTTTCCATCCTTTTCAATAGAATGAAATAGTTTGAGCATCAGTTCTTCTCTGAATGTTTGGTAGAATTCACCAGTAAAGCCAACTGAGCCTGGATTCTTTTTTCACTTGGGAGTTTTTTAATGACTTAATTAACTTGTTCTCTTGTTACAGGCCTGTTTAAGTTTTCTACTCCAACCTGTGTTAGTTAGGTCGGTCGTGTGTTTCTAGAAATTTGTCTATTTCTTCTAGATTTTCAAACTTGTTGGAGTACAATTCTTCATAGTATTGTGTTGTTATCCTT